GTGGATCACGAAGTCACCACGCATTCTGAGCACAAGCAAAAGGCCACAAGGCCAGTTCACATGCAGAGTTGTATAGAAACGAGAACAAGCAGTACAGTGATCACAACCTAGCAAGTGTAAGCATGCAGGTATAAGTATATAGATCACAGTACAAGCAAAGTCAAGTAGTGAGCAAGTGAGGCCAAGTAGGCACAAGGCCTAGAACAGTACAGAAACGCTGATGATCACAAGGCTGAAGTGCCTTGGTGAAGATATCAGCAGTGTTGGCCTGAGAGGCCACGTAAACAAGACGAAGCTGACCACGCTGCTGCAACTCTCGAGCAAGGAAGTAGCGCAGAGCGATGTGCTTCGTTCTGTGCTCCAGTATGTGCTCCTGACACAAGGCAATCATGGCCTTATTGTCAACGTACAGAACTGGAGGAGAACGAGGCGCCTCTCCCAAGTCGGTCAGCAGATAGGTGAGCCTGCGTAACTCCTGTGCAGCCATGGCCCCTGCGTAGATCTCAGCCTCACAACTGGAACTGAGAACAGAAGACGAGCGGGTAGACCGCCACGAAATAGAACCGGAGCCAAGGCTGAAGGTGTAACCCTGTGACGAACTAGAGCAGGGCGGCGTGCGGCCAGAGCAGGGCGGCGCGCGGCCAGCAGCTGGCAGTAGCTCCTAGGGCAGAAGCACCAAGGGTTTTTTTTTTTTTTTTTTTTTTTTTACTTGTTTATTTTAGGGTTTAGCAGGGCGCACAGGGCGCTGCAGAGGTGGCTTGGGCAGGGGAGAGCAGGGCGCCAGCGCGCGCAGGGCAGGGCGCTGGCGCGTTGGCAAGGCAGGGCGCTGGCGCAGGCAGCAGCGCGCATGGGCAGGGCGGCGCTGGGCAGCGAGTGCAGGCCCGCGGCAGGCGCAAAACGCAAGCACGGCAGGCACAAGGGGCGGGCCCGCGGCGGGCGTAACGGGCGGGCGCGGCAGCGGGCGTAACGGGCAGCCGCGGCGGCGCGAAGGGAGGGCCCGCGGCGGGCCTAACGGGCAGGCGGTAGGGCGCGACGCGCAGGGCAGCAGGGCGCTACGCGCGGGCTGCAGTAGAGCGCGACGCACGAGGCAGCAGAGCGCGACGCGCGGGCTGCAGCAGGGCGCGACGCGCAGGGCAGCAGGGCACGGGGCAGGGCAGGGCGTGTGCGAGGCAGCGCGACGCGGGGCTGGGCAGGGCATGCGCGATGCAGCGCGACGCAGGGCAGGGCAGGGCGTGCGCGATGCAGCGCGATGCGGGGCAGGGCAGGGCGTGCGCGGGGCAGCACGACGCGGGGCAGGGCAGGGCGTGCGCGGGGCAGCGCGACGCAGGGCTGGGCGTACACGGGCAGTGTGACGCAAGGCAAGGCAGGGCAGGGCATGGGGTAACATGGTAACCGCTGTCCGACACTAAGTAATGGTGGGCCCGAAAAAAAAGCGGTCCTAGGCTAGGACCTGCTCTGATACCATGTCAGAATCCTGAACGAGGAATGAATGAACTAGCAGCAGGATGGGTACAAGTAATAAACCCTAATTGGGTTGTACCCCATATGGGCTACCCCACTACAGCCTACACAATAAGCAGCATATAAGTTTGACATCTCTCTGCCAAGTACTGCGTGAACCTCTGTGACTGATATTCCCCTCCCCCGTCTGACTGGAAGCTTTTCATCTTCACTCCTGATTCTCGTTCTGCTTCTGGAAGCCAGGCGACGAAAGCTTCGAAAGCCATGTCGCGACTCGGAAGGTTAAGATGCCATACGTATCGTGTGGCGGCGTCGATGAAGTTGATGACGTAGTTGTATGCTCCTTGACCTGGTTCACGGTTGTACAGTATGTCGCTCTACACCTTCTCCAGAGGTGTGTATGCCGGTGCACTTGGGTTGTGGTGAGGGACGAACGGCTGATGCGGTAAGTCGGCTTCAGGGCAGGTGAAGCATGTTCCTCGAACTCATTGGAGTTCTCTGCCGTCGGGTAAGAGTAGCGAGTCTTTATCAAGTACTCCTACTATTATCGTGTTGTTCAGCGCTGTATTGCTGGGATGTCCTAACCTTTGATGCCATAAAGATTCGTCGGCGCGATGTCCAGGTGAACGCCTGTACAGATCGGAGTTGGAGTAGAAACCAACGGTGAAGTTGGCGCTTCTGTGGACCTCTCATGGAGTGGGAGTCAACTGCTGCGCAGGAGTCGGTGGAGTATCATCGATTGGGCCTGGTGCCGTTGAAGGTCCCGCGATTGGTGTTGTGATCGGTGTTGTCTCTGCTGCCGCCGATGTTGTCTCTACTGCTGCCGATGTTATCTCTGCTGCTGCCGATGTTGTCTCTGCTGCTGCTGATGTTATCTCTGCTCGTTGGATTGTCACTAATGCTCGTGTTTGTTCTGCTTCAGGTATAGTGTTTGAGTACCAGAAGCCACCGGGGCTGAAGTCGGGGTCGAGATCTGGCGGATGTGTCCAGGGAGCGAAGGTGACGATTCCATCGCTGTCGGCGGTGCCTTGATCTGGAACGAAGTCGAGGACGAAGACATTGCTCTTCAAAACTGCTTTGCCAATGTAGAGTCCTCCTCTCCCGTGATACAGCTTGAACTCCTGGGTGGTACTATCTGCTTCGAGGTGAATTCCTTTCGCCATCAGTTGACTGACACGGAGTAAGCTGTACCCGAGTCCCTCTGCGATTAAAACCTTGACGACATTTGTAGTACGACATTGGTCTCCCTTGACCGAAGTTGGACGATGCCTTGTCGTCGTGTGCGCAGGTTCTGGTTGTTGGCGACGGTGATTACGACTTCGCGTTGAAGTTGGTGTTCCCGTTGAACGGAGCGACCCGAGGAGCACATGTGCTGCCCGCAGCAGCTGTCCAAGAACCAGGTGTCTTTCTCGGACGGCTCGCTCTGGGCGATGGCTGCGTATGTCGGGTTCGGCTCCAGTGATTCGCGGCGAGGGGTGCTTTCATCGAGTTGTTCTTCCGGTGAGTAGTACGGTGGTGATTCGGTGATGCAGGAGTCTGTCAATCTCGCCATGCAGCTGACGATGTTTCTTGTTCCTTGTGCAGATTGCGTCGTTGATGTTGTTGAAGACTGCGGTTGACTGGTGGGGTGCGCCTGAGTGGAGGCCACTTGACTGCTTGAAGGCCGAATTTGTCGCTGTGGTGTCGTTGACTGTTGCAGATTTGGGCAATGTGTCTGAGGGTGTCCTGACGTTTTGCAGAGATGACAGAATGGTGGTACGTGCTGTTGCTGTTGTTGTTTATTCTGTCGGTTGGAGTTGTTGAAGCGCCGTTGGGTGTGGAATGCAAATTCGGGTACTGATGTTTTCCTCTTGTGCCGCTCCTCGTGCAGGTCCATGTCTTGTTGTTCAGCGCGTATTTCGGCGCTGAGTGCCGCCTCGGAGATCTTCTCGTGAGCTCGGAGTATGGCTCGAGTGGAGCGCCAATGAGGACCAAGGCCGGAGATGACGACTGTGACGAAGGCTTCTTCAGATATCGATCCTCCGCATCGAATGAGTTTGTCGCGTAATTCGCGACATCGGCTGATATACGCCATCCCCTTTTCGCCGGGTTTCATTTCCACTGTTGTCAGCTGAGCCATTAACCGGCTCTGATTGACGCTGTCTGTTGCTTGGTACAGGTTCTTCAAGTGGTTGTACGCGAGCTCGGCGGAGTTGCCGTATCCCCGATAAGATCGGATGTTCTGCTGCTGGTTTGGAGTTATGTTCCTCAGCAGGATCGTGTACGCCATCATCGACTGATATGTGTATTGTTGTTTGTCGTACTGTGTCCCGTGTGTTGGGTATGGCAGTGATCCGTCGAAGAATCCAAGAATCTGCGCGCCTTCCATCATCAGCTCAAACTCGAATGACCAGGTATAAAAATCCTTGTCGTCGAAAAGCGTCGATGTCTCTAGTTTCAAGACGTGCGCAAACTGCGATTGAACTTGAAGCGCATCTAGTGTCTTCTGTTGTTGTGGCATGAAGCTGATTGAGCCGCGTTGAGGCTCATACGGAGCAAAGATGGGTTGTTGCTGGTTTCCGCGCGCGTAGGATGAGCCATCGAGACTGATGGGTGTAACATCGTTGTTGTTGTTACTAATGTTTGACTGCGCAGGTGCCGCTTGCTGATGCTGTTCGTAGAAGGACGTGAAGGAGAAAAACTTCTCCATCATGTTTGGGTCGAAGCCTGTCGCTTGGTTCGCGGGAGTCTCAGTAGACTCAGCTGCTGGTCTTGTTGTTGTACCTCTCTCTGTCTGCAGGCCGGAGGATGGAGGTGGAGTAGGAGTAGTGCCAGGAGAGCCGTTGGAGGAGCTTCTCTCCTTCTGCGTTGCCATCCTTTCTGATGTTGTAGGAGTTTAAACGAAATGGAGTTATGCCTTGTCTGCTCTCATACCATGCCGGGCTGAGAAAAGCCCTTAGGATCCTTCAAGGCTAAACTCTGAGTAGGAGTGTTGTAATTGCGGAAGCGTTTCAATAATGAAGTGTTGAACCACCTTGCGCTAGTATGTGGGGGCAAGATAGATTAATTATAGAAAAGTAATACAAGCTTTTATAAGATTACAAGGAATATGAAAGGGTGCAGCTAATAACTGTTTTACTGTTGCTGTTGCGGTTCGATACAGTGACGATTCGGGCAACTGCTCAGTATCGAGTCAGTTGTTTGTCCTTGCTGTCGCGCTGTATTTGTCAAGTCAAAGGTCGCTGACCTTAGACCTTCGCGTAACCTCCAGCAGTTACTTCTCTTGTCAACCTCCTCGGTTGACTCGCCGTTGCTTCGTTGCTATTTGCTACGTTTACAGTTCGATGTTCCGACACATCAGAAGCGTTTACTTGTTTCCAACAAAGACTATTGCATGTAGCCGATTGTCCGACATTCATTTGAGCAAATCTCGTCGAGTTTGTCGTTGTACTGTAGAGCCTTGCCTTGTGCTTGATCTTGCTCATATCCACCCAAGTTACAGCATGTCCTCCATTGCTCTCACATCTACGGTAAATGATATGTTACAAACAGCATCTAATCTAATTGAGTAAATCATAGTCGTCAACCTTATCGTTGTACTGTAGAACCTTGTGCTTGATCTTGCTTGTGTCCACCCATGTCAGCATGTCCTCCATTGCTCTCGTCACCAGAAACGCTGGGTCCCTCACAGCTTCCGGACCAATGCGCACATGCCCCTGGAGGAAATATCAAGAGGGGACGCAAGAAAGGGGAGACGGGAATATGGGGATCAGACACGTCAGCGTGTCCTTCCTCGCTCTTGTCACCAAAAACGCCGGGTCCCTCACGGCTTCTGGGCCAATGCACACATGGTCCTGGGGGAAACATGAAGAGGGGATACGAGAAAGCGGATTAGATCAGACTGCTTCAAACACACTTGCTCACACGTCCACCCTTATATACAAAAAATAACCCTATGCCTTCTATTCCAACCACCTCACCTGCTGCACGAACGCCACCACCTCTCTCATGTGCTCCGCTCCGCCCATCCTGAGTGCCGAGGTGACTTTTGAGTCGACTCAAAAGTCACCTCGAACGCCACCACCTCTCTCATGTGCTCCGTTCCGCCCATCCTGAGTGCCTCTTTGGATCGCATTTATCCCCCCCCCCTCTTACGCAGACAACAATACGCCCCCAACCCTGTCCCCCTTACATGACATCGCACCCCCCATCCCACCTACCTGCTGCAGGAACGCCACTGCCTCCCTCATGTGCTTCGCCATCCTGAGTGCCTGTTTGGAAACTTTGGACCACATGCATACAGACACGAGGTGTCTGAACCCCCTACACACACAACACACACAGCACACTCACTCCCCACCTGCTGCACGAACGCCACTGCTTCTCTCATATGCTCCGCCACCTTCAGTCGCACCATCACCACTGCTAGCCTGCTGTCACCACACTCACATACACGGACACACTTGCACACCTTAGCACAACTAGACACACCTGCATAGCTACTCACACCAACAGCACGAACGAAACTGCTTCCCTCATGTGCTCCGCCATCTTGAGTCGCACCATCACCATTGCCAACATGCCGTGACAGCACACACATACATGGACACACCCGCACACCTTAGCACACCTAGATACACCTGCATAGCTACTCACACCAACAGCCTACCTGCTGCACGAACGAAACTGCTTCCCTCATGTGCTCTGCCATCTTCAGCCGCACCATCACCACTGCTAGCCTGCTGTGAGTCTGTGACCACACCCCTTCACACACATAACCACGCCTAACACACCCACACCTCAACACACCTGCTCAACCACACCCAACCCCTCCCCACCTGCTGCACGAACGAAACTGCTTCTCTCATGTGTTCCGCCATCTTGAGTCGCACCATCACCACTGCTAGCCTTCGTCTGGAGGGAGATGAAACCAGGAAGAGATGAAACCCGGGAGAGATGAAACCAGGGAGAGATGAAACCCGGGAGAAATGAAACCCGGGAGAGATGAAACCAGGAGAATTTGAAACAACAGAGAGATAATACATATTTCTGAGACTCATTTGTTCGGGTCGGGAGCAAGGCCCTTGTGCTTGGGACAGGAAAAAACGCCGTGTGACATTATACCGAGCTGACTTTTGAGTCGACTCAAAATTCATTTCTGAAACTCATTTTTGTGGTTCGGGAGCAAGGCCCTTGTGCTTGGGACCGCACGGCTTATCAATAACCGTTTCTTGATAAAACTTGTGCCCACTTTCGATCTTATCAAATAAACTTAATAGCAGTAGGAAGAAAAACAAAAAAAAAGAATGGCTTACCTGCAAAACGAGGAGACAGAGAGCTTATCGCACAGGTTGAGGCTTTTCGTTGTGGGAATGACTCCCATGTTGTAGCTGGTGGGTTTTGGGATGGGGGCAGAGGGGGTTAGGGTACGGAGAGAAGACAAGAGGGGTTACAAAAAAATGCCTGGCCTTTTGAGTCGACTCAGAAGAGGGGTTACAAGAAACTGTCTGTGTGGATATAGACTCCCATGTTGTCGCTGGTGGGGGGGAGGGAGAGAAGAGGGATTAAGGGATGCGGTGTGGTTTTTCTGTGTGGGAATGACTCGCATGTTGTAGATGGTGAGTTTTGGAATGGGGGCAGAGGGGGGTATGGTACGGAAAGAAGTGAAGAGGGGTTACAGAAAACGGTCTGGCCTATCTGTGTGGGTATCACTCCCATGTTGTAGCTGGTGGTGTGTGGGGAGGTGAGAGGGGAAGAAAGAGGGGGGCAGGAGGGGGGAGAGGAGGAAGGTCAACGGGTCATCAAGCTGACATAGCATAGATTGAGGCTCTTCTGTGTGGGTATCACTCCCATGTTGTAGCTGGTGTCTGTGGGGAAGGGGTGAATGAATGAGGGTACAGGAGGTGAAGGTTTAGGGAAAAAACACGCTATTGAAGTGAAGAGGGGGTATGGGATACTGTCTGGTTCTTCTGTGTGGGTATGACTCCCATGCTGTAGCTGGGAAGGGGAGGAAGAAAAGAGGAAGGATCGGAGAAGAGACGGGGAAAAGGAAAGCGGAACCCACAGTTTGTTGATCAGCTGGTCGGTTATTTCGATGCGGAAGGGGTCGGCTGGATCCAGTTCCTTGGGAGGCGAATCAGAACAGGGGGAACAGAGGGGGCAAGGGAGAGGAAGGACGGAGAGGAAGAGGAGGAAGTGGAACTCACAGTGTGGTGATCAGCTGGTCGGTCATTTTGCTTTTTGAGTCGACTCAAGGTGACTTTTGAGTCGACTCAAAAGGAGGAAGTGGAACTCACAGTGTGTTGATCAGCTGGTCGGTCATTTCCATGCGGAAGGGGTCGGAGGGATCCAGTCTACTATTTAGTCGACTCACAAAAGAGGGGTGAATGGACGAAGAGAGAGGGAAAGGAGAGGAGAGAGGGAAGAAAAGAAGGGATAATGAGAGGTTGGGGGGGGAAGAGAAGCTGGGGCTCACAGTTTGTTAAGCAGCTGGTCAGTCCTTTCGATCGGAAAGGGGTCAGAGGGATCCAGTTTCTTTGGAGCGAGGCGACTCAGAACAGAGGGAGAAAGGTAGAACAGGAGGAGGGAAGGGCGAGGAGGGAGGGAGGGGAGGGGAGGGGAGGAAAACCTCTCACAGTGTTAAGCAGCTGGTCAGTCATTTCGATCCGGAAGGGGTCGGAGGGATTCAGTTTCTCTCGAATCGTTTCATAGCAGGAGGGGAAAGGAGAAGTAAGAGCGGAAGGGAAAGCGCTACTCACAGTTTATTAAGCAGCTGGTCGGTCATTTCGATCCGGAAGGCGTCAGAGGGATCCAGTTTCTTGAGCAGCGTTGTCAGCTTTGTGATTTTACCACACAGCCGGTTGTACCTGCAGTCTCAATACAAGCACAAGCACAGGCACGCACAATCACAATTACAGGCACAAGCACAAGCACACGCACACGCACACGCACACAAGCACGGACATAGCATGAATTCCCAGTTTCCTTGAGCAGGGTTGTCAACTTAGTGATCTTACCGCACGCACAGCTGGTTGTACCTGCAGACTCGATACAAGCACAACCACAAGCACAACCACAGCACAAGCAGGAGAGCGCACAGGAACAGTAAAATTCTCTTTTGAACATTCTCAGCACATCACCCACTTTTGTTTTGTTACAGAAAACTCTGCTCCGCAAGTATAAATGAACTTGGCTCTCCCCCATTCCCCCCTCCCTCCCCATAACTGACTGACTCAAGACCTCTACGCGCGTAAATGTTTCCGCAAAGCAACTCCAAATCAACCCCAAGCTCCCCACCCTTCTTCTTCCCCCTATCTTCCTCCCCCAAAACCCCAACCCGCCTCAAAACCCCGCCCCGCGAACTCCAACTTTTACCTGTTTTACACACACCGCGCTTAACCCGATTGCGGAAATTTATGAAACACAGCCATTCTCCCGTCCACACCATCCCCCATCCCCAACAAACCCTCATCCCAAATCTTCCCAGCCCCACTTTCCGCGTCCTGTAACACTACCTCTTGCAGGTAACCCTACTTGGAGTAATCGTCTCGTTCGGTGATGTGGTATCTTCGCATGACCTCCAGCTCTCGATCGTTGTTCTCGGTCTTCCATTGAAGGAAATTCACTTTCCGCAGCAGCCGCTGCTCATGATACTTCAACTTCCTCATAACGGCTAATGCCTAAAAGTGCTCGCGTTATAACGACAGAAGCTCCGGCTCGTTATAACCTTGTGATCTTTCAAATGCTTCAGTGAAACCCTAGCTACGCTTAAAGCCGCTAATTAGGCCTAGCACTACGAATAACTACGCCTTGTAACAACAAGGCGAAAGTCCTCAATGGGTTGGGGAAGCCGAAGGACGAAGGAGCGATTTAATGAACGCAACGCGAACTCGAAAAAATCGGAGACCCGTAGACCTGGAGACAAAATCGCTAATCTTGGGTACGAGAATGCCAACACTGAGCAGCCTTGTCAGGGACAACTTCAAGGTGATATTTCTGTCTGGGCGTTCTGTACGGTCGAGTGCGGTGAGGCCGTAGTGACAAAGTAATGTGAAAGCAGCGGGGGACAGATAACATGGCATATGGGCGAAAAATCACAGAGTTGAAATGTAAGGAAAGCGCAATCAAAGTAATGTAGTAAGCAGCCAATTCGACCCCTCATACAATCATTCAATAGCGAATCGCAATTTGGTCTTTGCAGCGAAATTTCGCTGTCACTTTGCTGCACCTCCCTCCTCCCCCACCGCAATCCCGCTCGCGTGTCTCCTGCTTGCGGAAAAGCAGAGATGTAGGCACGCCGCCGGCGGAACTGACAGAAGCGGGAGCAGCAGCCACTGCCTACGCAAGCCTTCGACTCGGATCAGCTGATTGATTTGAAACCGTCGATCTGTGTGCTTTGAACCAATCCCAAGGTGCACGAGCCACTGAAACTGCATGCGATCAGACCGTTGCCTGCAGAACAGCACCAGAACGGACTTCCGTGAATCTGTCTCTGGTTTTTCGTCAAATTTACATCACACCAGAAGTCCGTCGATCCTACCACCGACTACAATCTGTCAAGGTTTTCGCTTCCCTACCAGACCCGAGACCACGAAGAACATAAGAAAGGACTCAGTGACCTTCACCAACAGCAGCACAGAAGCCCATCCTGAAGCAGGTTTTGCTATTCGTTCTTGTCTTTTGGTGAGCGGCCTTCTCATTAGTGGTATTTCACAGCAAGAACCATCTGAATTACTCGTTTAGAGCCGAGGTAGCCATGTCGTTTGCAGGATCTATTTGGATTCCATGGATCCCTGCACCTGAAGACGAGCCTGAAGAGGCATGTCAGGGGTATGGGATCAGCCAAGTGCCTGATTTAGAGCCAGCGTCTCCCCAGAGGACAAGATCGACAGCATTTACGACTCTTTCGTCCACTCCAGAGCATTTTCCTGTTTTCATGAACAAGAAGCTTGGCCGTTCCGCTTCTCCTATCAGAAGTGAAGCACTGAAGCGAGTGAAGCGTGATGTCAAAAGCGAGCCGCGCGCAACCAATGGTACGTGCCAGCGCGCGTCTCCGTTCAGATTATTCCGTTAAACAGCTATTGAGAAATGATTGTGAAATTTAATTTTACTGATCCTCGTCGTCTTGATGTCTTTCAGGTGTCTGTGACAGTTTCACGTCTTATTCAACGCCACCAGCTCTACAACGCAGAAGTCCCACATGTCCAGCGGCACCTTACAAGGCACGGACACGGAGCATCTTGAAGCTGACCCAGACATCGTCGATTGACCTGAGCATACAGCATCGGTGGTAGCACCTACCTTCCGCCAGCAGATCTCAAGCGCGAGAACCGGGTACATATGGCTCCTCGGCAACGTTATTTCGTGCTTACCACTATCAACACCTCTCTTTCAAAAGTTTTCCGCTTGGGTTCAGGGAGAACATAACTGCACGCTTCGTACTGTTGCTGATTGGTGCAGCAGAAGCTGCTCACATGTGTAAAATACTTGACACGGCTGGGGAATTCAGTGATCACTGAGTTCTGGTAGTGTTACTATGCCTGTTGTTTCTAACAAATCCTCCCTGCTGCTGCTGCCACTAGTCATGGATATTAGGGTTTGCTTCAAACTGGAATATTCTGTTTCTTCTACATTTACAGCATTTACACTACACTTGCCACAAATCGTTTACAACCTAATAGCTAACTAACAACTACCCTAATATGAATCCGAGTAGGATCATGCTGGAAAAAATAGCGAGAATGCAGTTTTCTTCAAAAAGCGGTTCTTTGCTCATTATCAGCTGGCCCCACTTGAGAGAGCTTGAGAGTAGTCTCTTCGGAATTCACGGCAGCAGCAGCGTCAGCAACTTGGTTAGCCATTTCAGCTGCTTTTGACAGGATCGATTCAGTCATGTCAGCTTCCCCTAGAGCCATTTCAGCTGCCTCGGCCGCCGTGTCTTCTACCTGAATACCAGAATAATCTGCTTCTAAATCATCACCCTCACCACGGATGATAATCTCACTGCTGGCGGTTTTGCTGCTGCTGGTGTTGCTGCTGCTGTCAGTACCAGCGTCGTTGTCGCTCCCAGTGTTACTGCTAACTGCGTCGCTGTTGCTGGTCATCCTCTGATGGAAGAGCGAGAATTGAGTAAATTTGCAGTCAGGAGTGAGGAGGGAGGACGTGACGTAATCTTCTGGTACTCCCTCGAGTTCCCCTTCGGGAGAAGCTTCGGAGGAGGGAACCAATGGCATGGCCATTAGGTGTGACAATATGGAGTAGTTTAGCGTGGGTTCTGACGTGGCGTTGGCTCGGTAGAATTGACCCAAGAGGCCGTGCACTGTAGGGGAGTACGCTACATCGAGGATTGCCAGGTTGATGTGCGCCTCAGCGTCATCTGGTTCTTGTAACAGGGGGTGCACCCGGCGAACGCGAACTTCCGCTTCAATCACACCCGGTACTTTTAACGCGTACACGTCCACGTCGTACGGGCCTTGCTTCTCGTACGCTGCTAGGAGAATCGTCGCCGCGCCGTCAAATAACGAGAGCTCGTCTCCCAACTGCTCAAGCGTGACAACCGTCAAGCACGGGAGAGAGAAAGTAGAAACAGCGTAAGAGAAGGTAGCGGCGGATAAACATGACGGAAACGGCGTCGCGAAGGAAGGAAACAGCGGATAGCATATAGGAAAGAGCCCCTTCGAACATTCAGCTCAAACCCGCAACCGTTTTGCGAGAGATAACAAGAATGCTATTCTACCACTAGCTTGGGCGCTGCATGGCCGCAAGTTTTTTAGACGCTACATGCACTCACCACTAGCTTTGGCATGGCATGGCCGTCAACTTCAATAGTCGCTACGCATCCATCCCCCCGCTCTTGCTGCGCTGTCCTTCTAGCAGCCATTCGCAGCACGTGCTGAGCTTGTCCGGGGCCCCCTCTCCCCCACATGAGCGAAACTTCGCGAATCCACGCGCGAACAACGGCCGGTCGCTGAGTCCGCGAGTTACCACCAAACGAAGAGGGGTTCGAAGCGGTGGCGCCGCGGTTATCCATGTAGCCTGACAGTTGCATGTTGATGTGAAACGACGGGTCGCTTATCAGACAGAACGCGCGGTCCGACAATTTCTCGTGAGCTACTGGTCCGGTGGGAGCCGCGCCGATTTTGGAGTGGTAAAGCGCGGGTCCCACGGCCCACTTGACGGCACTTGCGCCGTCATTTGCGACTGCACTTGCGGCGGTGGTGGCGAGTTCGGCTTCAGAATTGCAACGACCACCCACACTGGACAGGGTAGAGCATTGGAAAGAGAAAAGATACCGCAGAATTCGGACATTGACCGGAGGTCGAGGTTAGCAGAAGGAGGAAGCACCAGGGAGGAAGGGATAAACGAAACAACATAGTGTCCTCTTCAAGACGAGAAAGTGACTGGCAAAACGTGAATCTGGCAAAATTGTGTCAGCAGCTACGAGAGCGTATACTCACTATGAGTTGGGTAAACCGGGAACGTAGACATGCGCATCCCCGCTACAAGCTCCTTCGGTAAAGAGAAGGCAGAGACCGGAGGGCAGGAGAAGGTTCCAGTACGCGCAGTCGCCGTTGCTCCGGCATTGTTGGCAGCAGTCACCGGGAGTTGCGTTGGGCCCGAGATTCACGCCGTTCGGTGCGGCAGCGAGGCGATACTGCTTCGTGCCTTGCACGGTGAACTTTCCCTTGTAGACGTATCGTCCGCACGTGTCTTGCGTGCATGCTGATCGCTCGGTCGCGAAATTGGGGCAGTTGTTAGCGAGGGCGACAGGAAGTGTGGTCAATAATGCGATGAGGGAGAGAGAGCAGGCAGACAGGGCGATTCCTTTTCTATCCATGGCGAATTGCGTTGTGATCCTGCCAACAGGCAAAGAATAATGGTTGCAAAGGATATCCAAACCGAGGTACTCTATTCCACTTAGGCAGCCGATTTGGCGCAAAATCGGACTCACGTAGAAGTGCCTGGTCCTTCACGTTTATGGATTGCTTGTTTAGACAGTGGCGTCAATGCCCAGGTGTTGGTTCCATTCCATCACTCGGTTTTGCAGTGAAAGTGCTAATTACACCTGTCCCTCGCCTACTTCAATCCCTGCCAATTTCAACCCCTTTGTCCTAGCCCGTGGTCCTGGGGCGAGTGCGGATCGGTCCAAGCAACATCACCTCACCACCCAGAACCGAGTTAAAACGCTCTAACATGGTTCAGAATAGTTTGAAACCATCAATTCTTCCGTCAGAGTATTGAAATTGGAGGGAACTTTTTTGTTCCGACCAATTTCAACCCCAGAGCAAAACGACAAGGAAGCGATCCGGGCCCAGGTGTTGAAATTGGCGAGGGATAGGTGTAGCTGGTGTCCACACCAGGGTGCCTACCCTGTACCGCCACCTGCTGTTTGCTTTCGAGTATGCAGTGGTGGGGTGGGGTGGTGAGGCCTCACTATTTTTTTTCGCATTTGGCTCTGAAATCTGCGAGCCCCGAGTCGCATGAAGGGCTGACATGTTATGCGCTTCGGAAGGATTGCTTTTCCCAATCTGGGTGGAGGGGGATTTGGATATTGTCATTTGGGGCTGCTGACTGCTGCGAAAAAATGTCAGCAATAGCGAAGCGGGCGACGGGAGATGATGGATGCTTGCTGAAGCAACGGCTAGTTCTCCGCGAGGCTCACGAAAAA